AACTGCCAAGCTTCTGGTTAGCAGTCAAATGCCTTAGGCACTACACCACCAGAGCTCTTTATGAAATGCTTTTGGGCCCAGCAATTCAGGTATTTGCTTTTAGGCTAGTGTATAGGTTTTCTCTACTAACCACCCTTTTTCAGATGCAGGAGACTGTAAAACTGGGCAACAGCACCTGAAGGCTCTCTCTGCAGCCTCTCCTGCTCAGGATCCTTTGGACAGGCTGAAGAGTCAGGGCGGACGTCTTGTTGCTGTTAGTGGGGGCTATGTCCCATCAAGAACACAGAATATTGATGGGCAGGTGATCATTGCAGTCGTCATGGTCGGAAGAGCTTACATTACAAACAGCGGGCCTCGGGCTCTGCAGCATTTTCTTTAACCCTTCTCTTGCTATTGGATACCGTCCCAGGGAAAAGTAGCTTTACAGAGTCCCAAAATGATACCCTGCTGCTACTAAATATTTGAAGTGTGTGTGGCCCTTCATTTATACACAGAATACTAACTTGAAAGATACACATGTAAGTCTATTCCTTTAAAATAGGGTTCAAATTTAGATTCCTATGGATGTCATGTGTAAGACACGTTTTATGGCTTTTCTTCAATAGAGAAGAATCTCTGAGAGAGGCAGAGGTCACGGGTTGGAGCAGAAAGCACAAATTGGAGCAGCTGGTCACTTCATCTTTTTAAATTTATTTATTTATTGTGATTTGGATGAAAGTTTACAGAGCAAATTCATTTTCCAGTCATCAGTTCATACAAATTTTATTTCATGGCACTGATTGAGATCCCCATAATGTAACAGCTCTTTTCCCACTTCCTCCCTGTGGCTACCTTTTCCCTATGTCCCTGTTTTCTGTGCCTTCCTGCCCTCTGGTAGCGTAGTGCCTAAGGCACTTGACTGCTAACCAGAAGGCTGGCAGTTCAAACCCACCAGCCACTCCTCAGAAGGAAGACTGGGCAATCTACTTCCGTAGTGATACCGCCTCGGAAACTCAAGGAAGGGTCTAACTCAAAGGCACATAACAACAAACAACAACCACCTGCCCTCTGAGCTGTCTCCCTGTGCAAATGCTGTCCTTCTGATTTCCCATGGTTGACTGTTCTAAGGAGTGTCCCTACCTGGTATAAATGTTCACCTTATAGGCTTATTTGTTGTTTGGCCCAAAGGGTGGCTAGGGGTTATACTCTCCGGGTTTTCACCGGTCTATCAGACCAGTAAGCCTGGTTGGTTGGTTGGTTGGTTGGTTGGTTATTGTGACTTGGGTGGAAGTTTACAGAGCAAATTCATTTTCCGTACAGCAGTTCACACATACTTTGTCTCATGACATTGACTGCAATTTCCCGCAATATAACAGCTCTCTTCCCACTTCCTCCCCATAGTTGTCTCTTCCCTGTGTCCTTCCCTCCCATGCACTCCTGCCCTCGCCCCCCAAGCTATCTCCCTGTGCATACACAGCCCTTCTGTTCTCCCATGATTGATCTCTCTAAGGAGTATATCTACCTAATGTAAATGTTCAGCTCATATGCCATTTGTTTGGCTGGAGGTTGCAGGAGTGGGTCAATTCCAGACCTGAAGGGCAGTTAGGGGCCATAGTCTCAGGGGTTCCACCAGGCTCTATCAGATCAGCAAACTGGGTTTCTTTTTTCTTTTTTTTTTAAATAACGATTTTGAGTTTTGTTCTACATTGTTCTTCCACTCTATCCAGGGTCTCTTACATAGATCCCCCTCCAAGTGGTTAACAGTAATAGCCGGGCACATCTAGTTCTTCTGATCTTACAGTCATATAGGCTGAGGAGTGCATGGTATACCAGTCTCTTGGACTAATTGTTTCCACGCATCTTTGATTTTCTTCCTTCTTCTTTGCTCTGGATGAGGAGACACGCATTGTTGCATCTAGATGGCCTCTTGCAAGCTTTGAAGATCCCAGTCACTAATCACCAAAGTAGGAGGTGGAATAGTGTTTTTATGTAGTATGTTATGCCAATTGAGCTTGATGTCCCTGAACCCATAAGCCTGGTCTTTTTTGTGATTCTGAGTTTTGTTCCACATTTTTCTCCCACTCTATTTAGGATTTCCTATTCTGATCCCTTTCTGAGTGGTTGACAGTGGTAGCCAGGAACCATTTAGTTCTTCTGGTCTCGGGATCATGTAAGCTGAGGTTCACGTGGTCCACTAGTCCCTTGGACTAACTATTTCCATATGTCTTTTGTTTTCTTCATTACTCTTTGTTCTGGATAAGGAGAGACCAATAATTGCATCTTAAATGGCCAGTTGTAAACTTTTAAGACCCGAGTTATTACTCACTAAAGTAGGATGTAGAACAATGTGTTTGTGTAGTGTAGTATGTTATGCCAATTGAGTTTGATGTCCCCTGTGTCTATGGTCCTGAGCCTACAGGTCCAACTACTCACTCCGTCTCGTTAGCTGGCTGTGCCTAGGAAGTGACTACAACCTTGTCCCTTGCCAACTCTACTATACACCTGGGAATTCTTACGGAACATACCAATACACTTGTAGAAACATTGCCTCCAACCCTGTACATGGTCTTGGGCACACTCCTCGCTGCATAGATATACCTAATAGTTCAGCCTGTCCACCCATCTATCCACCCGTATATCTATGTTTGTTTTCACTGACAACGTAGTACTGCATGTGCATAAGGGTTCATCTTTGTTGTCTGTACCTCCCATGTACCTCTCTGTCTTCCTCTTCCTCAGTGCCACTGTGTTGATCACTCACATTTGGTACATTGCCCTTCTCTTCACCCAAATCAATGCTTGTCTCAACCTATCTAACAGTGTTCCCTCCCCTCCCCACCCAGCCCTGGCAACCAGCAAAGAAAATTTCCTTCCATCTATAAACCTTCCCTTGACTTTTTATAATAATGGACTAATACAATATTTGTCCTTCTATGATTGACTTATTTCAGTCAGCATAATGTCCTCCAAGTTCATCCACATTATGCAGTGTTTTGCAGATTCTGCATTCTTTAGGGTTGCATAGTATTCCATTGGGAGCTCTGGTAGCATAGTGCCTAAGGCACCTGACTGCTAACCAGAGGGCTGGCGGTTCAAATCCACCAGCCACTCCTTGGAAGGAAGGTTGGGCAATCTACTTCCGTAGTGATACCGCCTCGGCAACCCAAGGATGGGTCGCTATGAGTTGGGTCCGACTTGATGGCACATAACAACAACAACAGTATTCCACTGTGTGTATGTACTATAGTTTGGTTATTCATCCCTCAGTTGATGGACACCTAGATTGTTTCCATCTTTTGGCTATTATAAATAGTGCTTCGATGAACATGGGTGTAGATATGTCTGTTCTTGTCCTGGCCCTTACTTCTTTAGGATATATACCTGGTAATGGAATGGCTGGGTCTTACACTCATATCTTAATTTCAATTTTAAACATTAGACTTTGATTCCACATCACTAAAGGCTAAATTCATTGTTTTTGTGCACTCACACGCACACTATTCCCCTACCTTTTCCCACTTCCATCTTCCAAATATGGTTATATTCTAGTTTTTAGATAAAGCAATATTCAGAGTTTACTTCATTACAAATATGCAGATATTTTGCATTGTGCCAACTTTTAGGAATTTTCCAGGGGTTAATAATTGCCTCTTTTTTATTCTTTTATGTACTTTCTATTAACTTTTCCCACATACTCTCCAACAACCTCTCAATATCATTTCCTCATGATCAAAGCAGTCCATCTCTGGGCCCACTGCCGTCTCTCTGGAAGCCCTCTTTCCCTGCCTGGCCGCTGTGCTCTAGATCTGCTGCGGACTCCCATGACTTCCCTTCATCACCCCTGAGCGTCAGATGGCTCCCCATCTGGACATCCTGCCCCTTGTTTCCTAGCACACTTGTCTTCCTCTTTCTTGGTTTACTCCCTTATTTTGATGGCATATATCCTGCTTTGTGTGTTGGGGGAACTTTTCTTAAGACTTATATGTTTGAAAGTGTCATTATCCTGCCTATGTACGTGATTGACAATTTGCCTGGCTTTAAAATTACCGTTTTATTTTTTCCAAAGAATATTCCTTTCTTCTGTTGTATGGTCGGAGGGGGATTGTCAGTTAGCTGCTAGGAGTCGGGTAGAGACTTATCAGTCTTAACTACTCATTCTGCAAATTTTCAGTTTCCTCATTTTCTACCCCATACCTCAC